GTGAAATTTCATGACAGGTGACATTTTATGACAAGGACGTGTCATGACAGGTAGCATTTCATGATAGGTGATATTTCATGATAGGTGATATTTCAGGATAGGTGACATTTCATGACAGGTGACGTGTTTCCGTAGGTGGGTGGACGGCGTGACGTGAACGTGGGTGAGCCGTTCTTGTACGGTCGTGGTTGTTGTACCGGGGAGGGGTGAGGAAGTAACTGGTTGAGATCAAAGACGTCTTGAACGTTGTTTGTACGCTCGAGAGAAAACGGCTGTTTCCTCCGACTAACGTAGGGACATGCGCACACATGTCTTCATCAGCTGCGACATTTTCCTGATCAAACTCCATGTCTAGATGTTCTTTAACATTGAGTGGTCGGGTACGACAGGCGCTTTAATCTGGGGATTTATTGTAAAAACTGTTTCAAGAGATAACATACACATAAACACGCACATACATAGACCTACAGCACATAAAAACATATTATTCAGACTCCTATACATACCACACTCGCACACCCCAACACTGTACAAACACACACACACACACACACACACACACACACACACACACATATATATATATATATATATATATATATATATATATATATATATATATATATATATATATATATATAGACCTATAAAACTTATATTTTTATATAGCTTAAATAGCGTGCCGGAGCTAGAAGAAATGTAATTCCCCTCTACCTATCGAGCTATCGAGAGAGTGAACCTCTTTTTACTTAGAGCTTTTGAGAAAGTGAACGTCTCCAATTAGAGGAAATGTGAATTGATGTGTGTTGATGAACAAACAATTATTTCTAGCATGTTAATTTTATTCTAATTATTTCGACCTAATAAACAGATGCAGTTATAAACAAGACAACAGACAAGTAAATAAAAAAAAAAAAAAACCTAACGTGAAATTCAGCAGGAAGAACGTTTAACAAAAACTATTCTGTTAAATGACAAAATGTTTAATCATTCTACCTCATTAATGCAGAACGAATACAATTTACAAATCTACAAATTTACAATCTAACGTAAATTTTTATTAAATGTTGAAACGGGCACATTCTTTGTCGGCTATTTATAGCCAGGCTTCCTACCGGTAATCGAACCCGATAAATGCTCTTTTCAGACAGGTAATCGAACCTCCGCCTACTCAGCTACCCGGTAATCGAGCACACCCTCTCATCCCGTCGTTAAATTCATCTTCAGATTATTGCTCGCGAGGTCAAGGGTAGGTTCAATTCACTCGTGTAGAAGTTCATCGCCACAAAAAAATATTGATTAGATTTCTTTAGTGACTTGATGAATCAGTTTTTGGTTTTTAAAAAAAGCTCAAAGTTTGTGAAATTTAAAAGTTAAACAAAGATTTGTTGTTTACTGCATGACCCTACTTATAACAATCAAGAATAGCGCTAAAGCATTTCAATCTGGAGTGTTTGAGGGACAGAAAACTAAATTGTACCCACAAGATCACTACTCTAAATCACTGAAAGCTGTTGAGACCTAATCGCTGATGAGTTTAAGTTCATTTGTACTTTGAAAAGAAAACAGCGAAACAAATCAGCCCAGCTCTGAAAAAATAAAACGATGTTAGATCCATACATTTTAAAATAACGAAGAATGATAATGGTTTTAGAACTTCTTGACTTGTTAGTGACATTCTAAATTAATGAGAGCCAATGTACTCAAAGTATACTTGGTAGTACTTCATGAACAATAAGTTCTATCCCTGTTGATCCTTTGCAATTATTTCCCCTTAAAAAAACTTTTATACATATATAGTTTATTTTCTCCATTACAATAGTCAATTTAATAACATAGAAGTACCGTTGGCTTATTAAAATTTGTATTACTCTTTTTTTTAAGTCTTGAAAACACTCCTACATTGAAGGTGTATGTTATTTTCATAACTTTGTTGTATGCAATGACGTGCGGTTTCTGATAAAAAATTGAAGACATATAAATAAAAACTCTCAAAGTGTTCAAAACAGACAATTCTTGTTTGTGCTAGCAAATGTGCTAAACAGAACATTTATGATAGTTATTCAAACACCTGATATTTATAATTGGCGTGTAGACACGGTGTACCTAGATACGGTGCACATAGAATAATTGGCGTGCAGACACCGTGTACTTAGACACCGTGTACATAGAATAATTTGCGTGCAGACACGGTGTACATAGAATAAGTTGTGTGTCTAGGGCCAACTTTTGTGATTGGGTCCAAATAGAATGTGTTTGTGTTAGGTGGTGTCAGATAGAATGTGCTTGTGTTAGGTGGTGTCCGGAGACACGGTATTATTGCAACAGGTATTTTTCGGGCATCAATAGTGTAGGAACAAGATGTTGAATGGTTAGATACTGGACAGGTTAGGTTGTTAGGCTAGTGGTTAGGCTAGAGCACGGGTTCCCAACCTGGGGGTCGCGACCCCCTTGGGGGTCGCGAAGGTCTTTCTGGGGGGTCGCCAACGGTTATACTAAACCTTAGTAATTTGAAACAAAACATAAATATTTAGAAGAATTTTTGAAATTCGGCTTCATTAACATAACTGGAAATGTAATAGAGAAGAAACAAAGCGCACTGCACAAAGTTGTTCTCAGTCACGAATCTATGAAATCTTCAAAACTAAAACACCATTTGAGACGAGTCATTCGGAACACACCTAAAAATATATGGAGTTCTTTCGTAGATAAGAAGCTAGTTGCAAACGCCAGAGACTTGATCGAACAGGAAGTTTTCACCAGCATTAGTGCAGGCATCAAATGAAGTCGCGATAGAAAATGCCAAGCAAAAAAAAACAATCGGAGAAAATCTCATCAAACGTTGCATGTACGTAAATGTTAAATAACACATTTTTATCGAAATTAAGCTTTCAAAATTGTTTGCTTTTCAAGTTGATAAATCAACAGACGTGAGTTCGTGTTCGCAGTTGCTGGTCTGTGTCTATATTCATGCGGATGATAGCAAAGAAGAGTTGCTCTTTTGTGAAGATAGCATGGAGAAAATAAATACCTTTTTTGAAACTGGATGATTAAAATGGGCTAGAACGGCTGTGGGGGTTTGTACGGATGATGCGCCATCTATGCTTAGCTCAAAATCGGGCTTTCAGAAAACAGAAAAGATTTAGCTCCCTAACCACTGCCCTAACCAATCGACATCAAGAGTCCATTGCTAGTATAAGTCGTAAATTATATAAAATCTGGAGCCTTCAAAGAACTGAGCAAAAACATAAATATATATCACGAGGTTCTGCTCTTCTACACTACAGTACGCTGGCTGTCAAACCAAATGTTGTAAATTGTGTTTATGAATTGAAATCTGAAATCAAATTGTTTTTGGAAGTGCAAAGGAAACAAGACTTTTAAGTATACTTAAAACGACATAGAGTGGTTGGAGAGAGTATCATACCTGGCAGATGTGTTCGAACATCAAGATAAGCTTAACCTGAAGCTTCAGGGAAAATGAACGAATATTATAACTTTCCATGATAATCTCGGGGCATTTTTATCAAAGCTGCAAAATTGGTAAAGAAAATAAATCTAGGAAATATTGTAAATTTGAGAAATTTTGAAAGAAGCGATTTCTGGGCATCTAGAATCTCTTGAAAACGAACTGCATCGCTATTTCTCTGAGCTGAAAAAAGAAGAATCTGCATTTACGCATTACTCATTCTCTTCTTCCCATGATGTTGCCAGCATTCCCGATGAATTACAAGATGAATTCTTTGATTTGCAGAATGATTCCGAGTAAGATGAAAAACTGCAGACACAATTTTGGTGTAGTATTCACCATTCATACCCAAACGTAAAATTGATTGACTTTTCGAGAATATATTTTCAACACTGTTCTTCGATTAAAAACAAAATTAAGATAATTATAATGACATAGGTTGGCGTTAACAATTTTTTAAAAATTAAAAACTTAACCACGAAGGTTTAGTGAATAGTATGCAATTTTACTCATGCTATTAAAATAGTTATCAAGAGTAGTTCATATTGAAAGTCTACTAGAAAATCTTATTTTAGTGCTTATTGATTTCCATACTAATTTCGGATTTTTAATTCTATGGGGGTCGCGGGTCACTTACTTTTTATAAAAGGGGGTCGCCACTCGAAAAAGGTTGGGAACCACTGGGCTAGAGGTTAGGCCGGGGTCAACTACGAACTGTAAATGTAACGACTCAGTTTGGGTTATATAAAAGCTGTTGTTTTCATCAGGTTAATTTAATTTGTGTTTACTACCCAAATAGGCCTATATTAGTGCATCTAGAAATAAGATTCGAAATAACCTAACACTTGTACTTAATAAAGTTCATATTCTTATATTGAAAGAGCTTAAAACATTTGTTTTTATTTACATTTGAACATACTTTTTTAAAGCTTTTAACGAAAATGAAACTTTTTTCCAAAAATATTTCCAAAAGAAAACGTTATAATGCCTTGACCTAAAAGACACCACAATCTAATTCCTGACAAGAGCGTCCAATAGCTCCACACCATCGGGACAACCAACCAATAACTCCATACCACCGGAGTAACCAACAAATAGCTCTACACCATCGAATAGCTCTACACCATCCAGGTAACCAACGAATAGCTCCACACCATCGGAGCAACCAACGAATAGCTCTACACCATCGGAGCAACCAACGAATAGCTCTACACCATCGGAGCAACCAACGAATAGCTCCACACCATCCAGGCAACCAACGAATATCTCTACACCATCCAGGTAACCAACGAATAGCTCTACACCATCCAGGTAACCAACTAATAGATCCACACCATCCAGGTAACCAACGAATAGCTCCACACCATCCAGGTAACCAACGAATAGCTCCACACCATCGGAGCAACCAACGAATAGCTCCACACCACCGGAGCAACCAACGAATAGCTCCACACCATCCAGGCAACCAACGACTAGCTCCACACCATCCAGGTAACCAACGAATATCTCTACAACATCCAGGCAACCAACGATGACGTTCAACTGCACGAGTGGCAATGTTCTGGAAGTCTATGAGCTGGACCACGAGCTGTACTTCGACTACCGGATCGTCATCTTCTTCATGTACTTCATCTCCGTCTTCGCCGTCATCGGCAACTCCGTCAACTGCGCAACGTTCATCCGTCAGGGGTTGCAGGATCGAGTCAACCTCACGCTGTTCGCCTTGTCGGCCAGCGAGTTTTTGACCAGCTTCTTCTGCACCGCCTTCACCACTGCCGTTCTGTTTAACGTAATTGCCGTGCCGACTGACATTGCCTACGACGTGATTACATTCGTACTTATAGTTTTTAGATGCATATTTGCGGATATATCTTCGGCTATTACAGTCTTCATCTCCATCGAGCGATGTCTGTGTGTCACTTTGCCTTTTATTTTCAACACCAAGTCGACACCTACAAAGACTAGAGTTATCCTTGTTGTTATGACAACGTTTGTTGTTATAAACTATATTCCACTTCTGGGTACCATGAATATAATTCCGTACACCAATACAGAAAATAACAACACACTCCGATCATTCGGTCCTTCAGAAGATTTTCAGATATCAAACATGTACAACGATTACCTCCTTGGGTTCACGTTGTCATTTCTGTGTCAAGTCTGTGTGTTTGTCTGTGCTATCCTCATGTACAGAGGCCTGAAAAAGTCTTCAGAAGTTCGTGACAACTCCAAAGAGTTCGGACAACTGTCCAAGGAGAAGGAATCCAAGCTAACCGGAAGTCCGTTATCCCGGAAGGAGAGACGGGTTGTGAAGATGGTTCTCATGTTGGCGTGTCTGTACATCCCCACTGGGATCCCACAAATCATTTTTGTGCTTGTAAGAATCATCTTCCCTGAGATGTATGCGGTAAACTACAGGAACCTGTTCGAGTTCATGACATGCGTACTCATCATCGTGGCCACAGCCAACGGAGCTTTGAGCTTTTTCATCTACTTCAACTTCAGCACGAACTTCCGTCTCACTTTGCTCGGCAAGAAGAAGTGAACGTTGATTAGACTGGCACCTAATGACGATAATGTAGGCCTTAACGTGTAATGATATAAGTTTCTTACACTGATTTGAAACTAATTTTGACCTGTTGATAAACCACCTTTTTCTTGTGATATGATTTGATTAGCCAATCATTTGATGTGACCTTTACTAAAAACAGAGCTGATATACCTGTAAATTGTATGACACTACTATAGGAACCTACACATAATATACACGACAAAATATGTATTCATTTAACAGTAACGCTGACGAACAACCAGCCCAAACAGAGAATATTGGTCTGTGTTTATAAAAACTAGCGACTATTTCAGAGGTTTACACAACTCAAGAGGGCTGCTCGTGTAGCAGGTATAAGTTTAGACTGATGTTCGTGTTTAGACGAGTGTTTATGAAATTTTACGATCTAAGTTTAGACTGATGTTTGTGTTTAGACGAGTGTTTATGAAATTTTACGATCTAAGTTTAGACTGATGTTCATGTTTAGACGAGTGTTTATGAAATGCTACGATCTAAGTTTAGACTGATGTTCGTGTTTAGACGAGTGTTTATGAAATTTTACGATCTAAGTTTAGACTGATGTTCATGTTTAGACGAGTGTTTATGAAATTTTACAATCTAAGTTTAGACTGATGTTCGTGTTTAGATGAGTGTTTAAGAAATTTTACGATCTAAGTTTAGACTGATGTTCATGTTTAGACGAGTGTTTATGAAATTTTACGATCTAAGTTTAGACTGATGTTCATGTTTAGACGAGTGTTTATGAAATTTTACGATCTAAGTTTAGACTGATGTTCGTGTTTAGATGAGTGTTTAAGAAATTTTACGATCTAAGTTTAGACTGATGTTCATGTTTAGACGAGTGTTTATGAAATTTTACGATCTAAGTTTAGACTGATGTTCATGTTTAGACGAGTGTTTATGAAATTCTACGATCTAAGTTTAGACTGATGTTCGTGTTTAGACGAGTGTTTATGAAATGCTACGATCTAAGTTTAGACTGATGTTCGTGTTTAGACGAGTGTTTATGAAATGCTACGATCTAAGTTTAGACTGATGTTCATGTTTAGACGAGTGTTTATGAAATGCTACGATCTAAGTTTAGACTGATGTTTGTGTTTAGATGAGTGTTTATGAAAGTTGTCGTAATGCCTATGTTTGTTGTTATAAATCATTCCAATTTATTTTCGAGTTCTCACTTAACACTTCATAAAATGAGGGTCAATAGATATCATGATCACGTATTTTAAAATGATATTTACAAAAAATTTTTAAAAAGTTGTATACGTGTACTTATGTTTGAGCTTTTATTGTACCGTATACAATATTTTATAACTATGAGATAATCCCCCATATAAACGTCATAGAGTCCTTTTACATAAAATATACGACCTCGTTCAACGTTCACATAGCCTAGTACTGACCCATTATGTTCTACATTCTGTTTTTTTACAGTCCTTAAGTAGATTATATACTAAGCTCACAAAATTATGTAATGACCTTACCAGGTCAGGTTATGCGCTGACCTCACACGTATTCTCTCCCTCCCCCCCCCCCTCCTCCACACAGACTTCGTACTGACCTCTTTTAGTCATGGTATACTACAAATCTTTACTGGTCTCATTCAGATTTCAAATAGTTGAACCGACATCATACAGAACATACACATATCAGTTAAGACATAAAACAGATGACATACACATTACGTACGGGTCACATAATAAACTACTGTAAAACACCTACGGACCAAAGTCAATAGTGTACAAGTGACATTGGTCAGGATAAGGTAGCAGTGGTTAATGTATACCGTATTGTTTCATTACCCTGCCTTATGAATTTTGTTTGATTTATCCCGTGTATCTTTCATTTCTCTACTTTAGACTTTTTTTTTCAAAAATTTCAATAATAAAAACTTCATCAGCCTATATTTCTGTGTGCTCCAGTGTGTTCTACACCTACGGTAAAAATTAAATTGGATGGTATCTGTTTGTACACCTGCCTCAGGTAAAAAACACTTCATCAGCCTATATTTCTGTGTGCTCCAATGTGTTCTACGCCTAAGGTAAAATTAAACTGGATGGTATCTGTTTGTACACATGCCTTAGGTAAAAAACACTTCATCAGCCTATATTTCTGTGTGCTCCAATGTGTTCTACGCCTAAGGTAAAATTAAACTGGATGGTATCTGTTTGTACACCTGCCTTAGGTAAAAAACACTTCATCAGCCTATATTTCTGTGTGCTCCAATGTGTTCTACGCCTAAGGTAAAATTAAACTGGATGGTATCTGTTTGTACACCTGCCTTAGGTAAAAAACACTTCATCAGCCTATATTTCTGTGTGCTCCAATGTGTTCTACGCCTAAGGTAAAATTAAACTGGATGGTATCTGTTTGTACACCTGCCTCAGGTAAAAAAAACACTTCAACACCCAGGAGCCAGTGAAGTTGTTCTATGAAATTTTCGTTTTATTTACAACTGAAACCTTGAAATATAAAGTAGCAACATCTCACCGTTTATCTAAAGAATGGTTTCAATAGCATTAAAACTGTTTAGCGTGAAATTAGTCTATGATAATTGTTTTCTATATCTAATGACGCAACCAGCGTTAAGCGGGTCGCAATATGTTGTGCAGGCCGACGGTAATACAAGGATAAAGTTGTACTTTAGCTATACATCATCAACATCATCACTGCCCTTCACCAATGAAGGGCAGAGTCATCACAAATCACCCGTACATGTCGTCCTAATGTCATGTACCTGTAGGCCTGACGTAGCCCTACCTGTAGGCCTGACGTCACCCTACCTGTAGGCCTGACGTCACCCTACCTGTAGGCCTGACGTAACCCTACCTGTAGGCCTGACGTAACACTACTTGTAATCCTGACGTCACCCAACCTGTAAGCCTGACGTCACCCTACCTGTAGGCGTGACGTAACCCTACATGTAGGCCTGACGTAACACTACTTGTGGGCCTGATGTCTCATATACTATTTATTACATTACATCTACGCAAAAAATTACATTGCATACACACACGTGTTGTCACTATTGTAGAACCCTTTCGACTCTGGTTGTCTTTTGGGCAAATGAAGTAGAGTTCACCTGTTACTACGATTTCGTCATATCAATATATGATCAGATTAAGTTCAGCCGTCTTGACTTTCCTCAAGCCGAGTCAGGTACCCATAAGAGCTGAGTGAACTCAGTGACAACCTACACATTCGAACCCACGAACTCGAGACTTACTGGTTAGCAGTCGTGCGCTGTAACTTTCGACCACGCATTCCCATGTCTTTGATGTTAGAAGCAAGTAATTACTGCACATTAATTACACTTTTTAATTTAGAATTTTTAATTTAGAATGTTTAATTTAGAATTTTTAATTTAGAATTTTTAATTCAGAATTTTTAATTTACAATTTTTAATTTACAATTTTTAATGTATTGATGAATTTGGAGGAAATTTGAAGTAAATAGGCCTACGCTTTGAGTAACTTCGAGCAAGAAACACTTACCTCTAATCATCTAAAATCTAAATCAACCATCAATTATAATTACACGAAACAAAAAACCACACAACGAAAACACTTGAGACTTTAAATACACAAATGCTACTAGAGATGCTTGAATCTTTAGTAGTTAATCGCTTCCTTGCTATAATGCATTTTTGTCTGGATTACATTAGCTAATAAAAAATGGGCATATATTTAATATTCTAAACCTAAGTTCAAAGTTCGTGTCATTCAACTGAAATTTTAAGATCAAACATTTGTTTCGTATTAATAATTTTATGACGAGTTCAGAACACTAAACCTGATCAAACTAATTTTAATCGCGTACAATTATTTTCTAACAACTTCTCTGATTAGCTAGTCAATAAGCGACATGGCATACAAAATCAAGCGCCGTGCCACACTGGGCACCTGCTGTGATGCACTCAGTAACAGAAACTGGACTTTGATTTCTTGGACCATAAAACTATGAACACAACTTTTCTCTCGAGTATTTATTTTATTCAATGTTATGTAGTCCACGACCTTTGAACTTCAACCCTAGAAAAATGTGCTGATCAAATGTTAATAGTTTATGTTAAGAGCACGAAAAGTTTGACAATTAAAATTGTATCCAATAAGTGACAACGAAAACAAGTCAAATGCGGACGAAATTTATTTCCGTTTTTTATTACTGGCTTCTACACGTTTTTGAAGTAAAACTTCAAGGGTTTGAAATGTATAAAGGTGTGCGCAACATTCATTGGCATGACAACGCTTTCTTTACGCTTGAGTTATTTCATCGAGGTGTTACTTGTCTCTGTTCTTACTAAACTAATTATGTCTTCAACATATCAACGTGTATGGTCTATATTTATAGACTGTTTATAGTTTTAGAATTAGTACTGAAAGAATAAACCATCCAACATCTCTAAAGTTAAAAAGTAAGTTTATAGTTGGCTTGGTACGTTCTTACAATTATAAAAGTTAGTTTATAGTAGGCTTGGTACGTACTTACAATTCTAAAAGTAAGTTTATGGTAGGCTTGGTACGTTCTTATACTTCTAAAAGTAAGTTTATCAGACTAATTAATTTTTTTTAAATTAAAAATATTTATTTATATTAATGTATTTATGTAAAATGTATCTTAAGTTAACAGTAGTGACGTGTGTGTAGGTAATTTATCTTTTATCTTTTATCCCTCGTAAAATTAATTTCAACAATATAGTGGTTACCATAGTCATCAAAAAGTCATCAAACAGGCTTGACGGTGAAAAAAATAGTTGTACAAGTATCAGGACTCATTTAAGGTCACTTAGAAAAGGTATCATGGCTCATGTGAGTGTCTCTTAGAAAAGGTATCATGGCTCATGTGAGTGTCTCTTAGAAAAGCTATCAGGGCTCATGTGAGTGTCACTGAGAAAAACAAAGTTGTCTTTTTCTGACTCAGTAATGTTTGACTAACTTTAAAAATTTTACAGTTTTTGAGTCAGTTGAATAAATAATATTTGGCTCTGGGATAATTGTCTCGAGAATATTTTCTTCTCATTCTTTAGGTTGCACTTCAGATAGCTAGCATGAAATATTTTTTCTAAGATAATTTTTGGAGGTTATTTGTCTCAGATATTTTGTCTTAGATATTGTCCTGTTACCGTCAAAATGTTTAATTAAATTTAGTTTAATACGCAGACTCTAGGCATAAACTATAAATGTTTATTAAACAACCCGTGCTATATTATTAAGCGTTTAATTATACTGCTAAAGTACACAAATAAAGAAGAAAAACATCACCATGGCAACGAATTCAACCAATGACAAAACGTTTGACCACCAATCGCCCAGCGAGGTCCAGCTCTACTTCGACTACAACGTCGTTGTTTTCTTCATGTTTCTCACATCTGTATGCGGAGTGCTGGGCAACTCGGTGAACTGCGTGACGTTCACTCGCCAAGGGTTGCAGGATCGAGTCCAACTCACGCTGTTCTCCCTGTCCACGAGTGAACTTTTCTCCTGTGTTTTTTGTGTGGGCTACACCATCGCCATCGTGTGTAAAATATTGGAGGTACCCACCTACATCGGGTATGAGGTGATCTCCTACATACTTATAGTCCTTCGATGTATCTTCACAGATATATCTTCGGCTATTACAGTCTTCATCTCCATCGAGCGGTGTCTGTGTGTCACTTTGCCTTTTATTTTCAACACAAAGTCCACGCCAAAAACAACTAAAATTATCTTGACAACTCTGACAGTGTTTGTGGTTATAAATTACGTCCCGCTACTTTGTACTGAAAACATCACGCCTTACACAGACCATGAAAACAATGTTACGATACTCTCGTTCGGCCCTTCAGAAGGTTTTGAGATATTAAACATGTACAACGATTACCTATTTGGATTCACGTTGTCATTTCTGTGTCAAATATGTGTGTTTGTCTGTGCTATCCTCATGTACAGAGGCCTGAAAAAGTCTTCAGAAGTTCGTGACAACTCCAAAGAGTTCGGACAACTGTCCAAGGAGAAGGAATCCAATCTAACCGGAAGTCCGTTATCCCGGAAGGAGAGACGGGTTGTGAAGATGGTTCTCATGTTGGCGTGTCTGTACATCCCCACTGGGATCCCACAAATCATTTTTGTGCTTGTGAGAATCATCTTCCCCGAGCTGTACTCGACGACCTACATAAACCTGTTCGAGTTTATGACGTGCTTGCTGATCGTGTTATCAACAATCAACGGCGCGTGCAGCTTCTTCATCTACTTTCATTTCAGCACCAACTTTCGTTTAGCTTTACTCGGGGAAAAGTCGGACAAAGTAGAAACAAGAAACACAAAATAAACGAAAAATATAAGTTAATTTTATTGCAACTTTCTAAAAACGAATTTACAACACTGTAAATGGAAGCTGTCTGATAACGACAGTAGAAAGTACAAAAACTGACGAGTGAAATCACGCGAGAAAAACGAGAAGCTCGGGGAAGGTGATCTTTGTTTCACATCTCTCGCGAGACTATTGGCAGTGGCGTAGCGAGGTCGGGTGTCACCCGGTGCGGCACTTAATGGTGTCACCCCCCAGAGGCGCAACTTTCAATTTTCGATTTACACCCCCCCCCCCTCAAACTTTCGACTTGCACCCCCCCCCTCAAACCTTCGATTTGCACCCCCCCCCACCTCTTAAAAGGCTATTTAACACTCTAATTAATCACTCTATTATGTGGAATTATAATTTTTCTCTATATATTTTGCTATTTTTTGCCTTGGTGTCACCCCCTAAATGGTGTCACCCGGTGCGGTCCGCACCCCCCGCACCCCCCTCGCTACGCCCCTGACTATTGGTATGGTGTCGTTCATTAGGTGTTTGATACTCTCTTAAATAAAAAATTGTAAATAGTTTGTTGTAGGCCTATTTACTGGAATTAAAAGTGGCAAAGGCAGAAGCTGTTATTGTTAGGTGGTATTATAAACTCCACCCCTTCACCCCACATTTAATATTTTATATTTCGTACAACCAGTTAAAATAATTTCGATATATATATATATATATATATATATATATATATATATATATATATATATATATATATATATATATATATATATATATATATATATATATATCACTCACATAGGGCGGGGGTATTCGGTGGGTTAAAGACATTCCCTTAGAGACAACTTTCTTTCACAGGTGTCGCTGTCACAATGTCACTGTCACAATAACAGTGTCACTGTCAGTGTGTCATGTCAGTGTGTCGTGTCAGTGTGTCATGTCAGTGTGTCGTGTCAGTGTGTCATGTCAGCGTGTCTGTATGCTGAATGCTGCACCGTTGAGATATGATATCAGTGTCAATAAAACTGGGGAAAAATATTTGAAAAGATTTTGAAACGATGTTATTTTTTTGTTGTGGGTTAGGGTTAGGTTTTTGTTGTTGTGTGTTAGGGTAAGGTTATTGTTGTTGTGTGTTAGGGTTAAGATTTTGTTGTTGTGTGTTAGGGTTAAGATTTTGTTGTTGTGTGTTAGGGTTATGTTTTTGTGGCTGTGGGTTAGGGTCAGGTCATTGTGGTTGTGGGTTAGGTTTGTGTTGATGTAGGTTAGGATAATAATAAGTTTTTGTTGCCTGCATCAGTGACAGAGATTCTACAGTACTAGACAACAAAATTCCCTAACTACGTCACTGGGTTAGGGAACACAAGTCTCTGACTCATGCACTGACTCATGCACTGACTCATGCTCTGACACAAGTCTCTGACTCATGTCCTGACTCATGCACTGACTCATGTCCTGACTCATGTCCTGACTCATGTCCTTACTCATGTCCTGACTCATGCCCTGACTCATGCACTGACTCATGCCCTGACTCATGCACTGACTCATGCACTGACTCATGCACTGACTCATGCACTGACTCATGCTCTGACACAAGTCTCTGACTCAAGTGTCTAAAGAAATACTATCAATGTAAAAAAAATATTTCCCAGCCTCACCTGAAGGTCGATAGATCAAGAGATCGACGGTCGACCACTTGATCGACTGTTGGACCTCTTTAATTACATAATCAATCCTGGCACGTTTCCCGCGCTACTCGAAGATGATATTTTGATTTTTTTTAAAAATGTAATTGCTTTACCCTGAACGGAAACTTCTGTTGAATGTCAAGAGATCTTGACTAAATGAAATTTGTCGTTTAAAAAATGGAACTTGTATGAGAGTATAGTGTGTGTGTGTGTGGGGGGGGGGGGTGGGGGTCAGACATGAGCAATTTAAATCAGTAGAAGTAAAATAAAATTGTAAAAATTAATAAAATTAAAATAGGATTTTATAATATTAAAGAAAGTGTAATGCAGCGTCTTTACACATAAATTATCTCTCGTTGTATGTGACCAACCAATCTGTACTCGTTCCACAGTTTAGTATGTATATTTTCATGATGGCTAGTGTTAAACTATTTAGTGCTGCCTGGTGATTTTTTAATATGAACTGTAAATATAGTAAAAAAGACATCAATTTTTTTCTAAAAAATATAAAATTTATAAACACTTTTTTTCAACCCGTTAAGAACGGATTATGCCAAGGGACACAACTCAAATATTTTTCGGCAAATTCAACCAGGCTTAGTTATATCCCCTTAATGGAAAAATTGGCGGAAATATAGTAGACAGTGATGTTATTTTTAGGGAGGAAGGCTGACGTTTTGTTAAATGTGATGAAACGGTGGAAGGGGGAGTGGGCAACGTCATTGATGACCCAACCATTCGCCATGTGAAGGAGAAACTGATAGGGGGAGGGGGGGATGGGATAGTATTACGGCAAGTTTTTAAAATTAGTATTGCCCAATTTGTGTCCAGTCTTTATTTGAATGGACGGCCGAATGTAGATTTAAATGAATGACGGAGTTTTGAGACATTTTTTTAAGTTTAGAAGAAACACAATATCACTACAGTATTTTCAGGAGAATTCATGGGTATGTACATGCTCAAAAGTGGGAAGAAAAGGTCTGAAGTATAATACGACTGGGGGAGAGAATCTATGAGTGTTTATTTTGGTCAGATATTTTTTACAATAAAAAAATAAATTGTTATAACAATTGATTAATGAAACTACTAATACTAATCCAATTTTTTTTAAAAATCTGAAAGGTGATTTGAAATTAAATTTCCTTTCTAAGCGAAACAACTCAATATTACAAGCAAAATCATCTAGCTTGGTTATGTCCCCTTACTGTATACAATATTATACTTTGCTAAGGGTGGATGGCTAAACTGGTGCCATTTTGAGTAGTCTGACGTTTTATGACGATTTGAAGGATAAATGTTTTAAAAAATCAGTAATATAAACTAATAATAATTTTAAAATATACCGTTGATTATGTAGGCCCGAATGTCCTAAATCGTTAAGAAATATTGTCGTGAAATTGATAGACTGCTAAGCTTCCCGTTCCTACCAAACTTCTTTATGACTACAAGAACAAACCAAAATGTATCAGGATTTCCTGACATAATGTAACCGGAACTATCACTATAGAATACTATGCTATTTTTATTTTTTAGAAAATGTTCAAGCTAACTCCAGATTGGTCTCACTTTAAAAAATTGTAGAATTTACAAATTTTGTCACAACTAAAATCTGGTAGCTCCAGCAGCAGCTAACCATGTTATGCATTTTTTTACTTGCTTGTTTTCAGCAGAAAGGGCTTCAATGTTGGAAAACTGCAGCTCTAGATTTCTATTTAAAGTTTTTTGCGTTCAATTATTTATTTTAAAAAAATGTTTGAATCATACATTGGCTTTCTTTTTTTTTTAGCTCTTTGATAATAACTACTATGGTAAAAAAAAATGTCTTGGTTATACTGCCTGCTTAAACATTAAGTATGTTTCTATGTAATTCTTTTTTTTTTCGTACGGGGCGATTTGAAGACATGTTTGAAAGAAACTGCGTGATTAACGATAAATTATGACCTTTTTAGTTCTAGCCCAGGGGTCGGCAACCTGCGGCTCGCGAGCCGCATGCGGCTCTTTTGATATCAAGATGCAGCTCTCCAACTCCTTGAACATATACTAATAATCTTAATGAAAAAATAAAATATTTGAAATAAAAAAATATGTTAGTGGCTCTTTAAAACCAGTGAAATTGTGAAAATTGTAATTTTTGGCTCTTCCGCTTCAAAAGGTTGCCGTCCCCTGTTCTAGCCTGTACTTACGGAGGGCGGTAAAATAAATACTTATAGAATGTGTTTGGTATGTTACGAGTATGTGTAGTGTGAGAATGACGAGGTGAAAGCAGGTTGTTGTAAAACAAACTGGGACTCCTGACGTAGGAAAGAAAGAAAAGGCGGAGGGTTTGTTTAGACTGCAAATAAAAGCTTGTAAAAGTGGTTCTACTACTGCTACATTACACATCCTTGTTCAATTGATGTCGTGTGTAGAACTATTGCCTTCAAACTGACATTGGATACACTTTACAATTTAAATAGGGCCTACAGTAAATACAGTGATGGGCCAACATAGGTTAACAAGTAAATACGAAATAGAAGAGAAACAAAATCCAGCCAGGCTTAGGCCCAACACTATGAAGTAAAACTAGGTCACCACTTCTACAATGCGATTGGCTCGTGCCGTTTTATAGAAAGGCCTAAATCGCAGCACAACAGGCCTCATTAGTCAGGCCCTTATCTAATTATTTCATTTGTCCTTAGAAGTCGTTAGTTATAGCATTCATTTGAGTATGATACAATAATAAATACTAAATAACCAGAGCTAGAAGTCTTCTATAATTTCCTAACCAGCATGATTAGTCAAATCACTGTACTGAACTAACAGAAGCTATACTATGAAATTTTTTTGAAAAGTTTCGTCAGTTAAAAACCATTGTGGTTAGACAAAAAACTATATTCAATCTAAGCGCAGATTACTTTATATTACAGTTAACTCCATAACCATTGTCAGATTTCGTACATTTATGATTTAACTAGCTATTTTCCTGGTTCCCAGAAAGAACCGCAACGGAAAAAAGCGCAACGGAAAAAAGCGCAAAACAAAAAGCGCAACGGAAATAAGCGCACACGGAAAAAAGCGCAAAGAGAAAAAAGCGCACACAGAAAAAAGCGCAAAGAGAAAAAAGCGCAAACGGAAAAAAGCGCAAAGAGAAAAAAGCGCACACAGAAAAAAGCGCAAACAGAAAAAAGCGCAAACGGAAAAAAGCGCAAAGAGAAAAAAGCGCACACGGAAAAAAGCGCAAAGAGAAAAAAGCGCAAACAGAAAAAAGCGCAAAGAGAAAAAAGCGCACACAGAAAAAAGCGCAAACAGAAAAAAGCGCAAACGGAAAAAAGCGCAAAGAGAAAAAAG